CGACAGTGACATTCCCAAGCTTGTAACATTGTTTTGTAAAAGTTTATCTAACTTACTTGACAAAATATGTCTTGCTATAATATTTTCCATGTAAATGTGCAAGTATCATATGTCATAAAACTCAATACCAGAGCTTGCCCTTGCAAAGTCTTACTCCCGTAAGTCATTATGAAAACATATGGGTCCCTTAATATTTTGGGGCCTAACAAGGTCCTTATTTACCTAAATAATCACTGTTTATTTGAGTGGTCTGCATGGGCACAAAATTTGGTTTTAAATGAGAGCTGTTTTTTAAATTGGTGAGGGGAGCATGCGATCAATTATTTTTTCACAAGGGATCACACTTATTTAAAAATGGTGCAGAAATTGAAGAAAATTGCCTGAATCACTATGTGCTCCTAAGTGCTAAGAGCACTAGAAAGCATGCTGATCCCTTATGAAAGAAAATCCAAAGGTACAACTTACAGCTGTTGGTATTCAGCTGCTTGTACCAACTGTCTCTTAAAACAGCAATTATGACTTTAATAAATCAAACCAGGAATTTGGTAAAAGTTGCACAGCTTTTATTCCTAAGTTTCTTTAGCCTTTAACAAAGACATGATGGCTTTTCAGTGTCCACTTATTTGATTTTACCATAATCAAGAAATCTTGCTGGCCAACTTTTGTTTTATTCCAAAAGTAGATAAAGTAGGGCCAGGTGGCACCATAGAGATCTAACACATTCAGAAATACATACGCTTTCATAGGTGATAGCTTATGAAAACAGATATATCTAATTTTAGGGGAGTACTCAAGCTCTACTGCATAAGACTCAAGTATTCAGTACAAGTGCTTGATCATTTGTTCAGAGAGAGAATTGTAAGAAAATCTTATTTAGCATTATCCAGGGGATCACGTACAGGGAATCTTTCAAAATTTGAAGTCATGAACTTCCAGAGTGAAAGCACTGTAAATTGTATAGAAAGGTTTCGGGTAAAGAATCACAATGAAACATGAGCTACTGAATTCCACCATTATATTGAAGAACATTGTCCTTTAAATAACTGTTAATTGCTTTTAATTGCAGAATGCTGTAATTTGGTATTACAGCATAGATTCTGTTTCTTTAATGAAATGGCTTAATTTTATTTCCTATCTTACAATATACTTCCTTAATTCTTTCTGCTATTAAGAAACGTTTCTCTCCCCACCTACCCTTTATTCTTTGTGGTCTACACAAATTTTATTTCTTGACTTATTACCAAATCCTACCAGTACAGGGCATGGTGATAACTGTACTTATATCTGTAGCTTATTCTCTAGTGTATAACTATTTTGCTCTAAGGAACTTCTTTCTACTTTAAGTGTATTGGTATAGTGATGCAATACAAGTTTGTGGTCTTAGCTATTTGCCTTTATTTTTACTTGCTGCATATACTGTGCAGTTCCTTTTATATGAGGGTAAAGTAGGTTGAAACACTACCAAATCAGAATAGCAGCCATGATTGTTAGTATTGGTTTTACAGTACTGTGTGTGGAGTTTGATACAAATTTGGGCAAATAATTCAAACATTTCCGCTCAACTATAGAAGATTTTAACCCCTTCTGTGCTTATTTGTTAGAGAAACTACAGTGAATGTAGTGAAATGTCAGGTTCTTCGCACTGAAAGCAGTGATATGAATAGTTTATAAAGAAAAAACAGGTTTCTATTTCACTGCAATTCCTAAGCGCCCTCTGGTGGACAGTTTGTAGTAGTTTTGGCTTATCTAAAAAAAAATAGTGGATGGATAACTTACCTGCTCTGAAAGAGAAGCTTATAGATTCAGAGAGTGTTGAGGTTCCTAATTTTAAAAAACATAGTTATATTTTGGCGTGATAGGAAAAAAAAAATAATTTTTCCATAAGAAAATAAAACCAAATGGATGATGTATTTGACTAAACATGTACAGCAAGTACAAAATCAACTCTTTAAATTGCCAGTTAAACTGAATGTCATCAGAGCTAGCTTGGTTCCTTTCCAGTGACTCCATGAACTTGCATATGGGAATGCTTTGGTATGGAACTCATCTTAACAGATGCATCTAAATAGCTAAGATGTGTCTTTAGTTAAAGATCAAATCCTTTTTTCTTGGTTACTGTGGGAATTCAGAGGTATGTACGTGACTGCCATCAGTGAAGTTACTTAAATTTACATAACAGATCTGAATTTTCCCCTTCCTCTCAGTCAGTGATAGTGGTGGTTGTTTAATTTTGTGTTTGCCAAATTGTATAGAAAACATTGCAATGTGATGCTTCCACAGCATATGGCTATTTTCAATGTCTGGCTAACAGACTTATGTATAGCCACTTTAATGGTAAGTATGATATAAACAAATAAGAGCTGGTCCCATATTTCATTTTTGATCAATCAGGGGTATAAGCTTAGGATTGGCATAACTCACTTATAGTGTGGGGTCTGGGAATGCAGCAGGTTGCCATTTATATTCCACAGCACAGCAGCAAGATCAAGATGTGATCCTGTCCTAAGCTTTTTTATCATGCACATACAATTCTGAGCACACCCTAGTAAAAAGTAAAAGAAGCTGACGTTTCCTTCCACACAACAGATTGCATCAGATGCTTTGTGTCAGCTTGAGAGTGGTGAAATAAACAGAGGTTACACTGTTAAGATCTTTCTCTTTTACCAGGATGCCCTAACTCAGTGTTGGCATACTTAAGGTGGTGAGCGAAAATGCTCAGTCGGGCTAACTTTGCTCCTGTTGAAGTCAGTGTCAATAGGAGAAGACTAAAGCCTACCGAGAGTACGTAGAAAATCTGGCTCTTACTGAGCAAGTTGTACTTTTAACCTTTATTAAAAAACAACAACAAATGCTGCTTTAAAAAGGTTCCGTTATGGCCTCTGCTGTGAAATGTGAATTTGGTAGATGAAGCTGTTTGCCAGAACAGGATCAAGGCTTCTGTATGTAGGATGCATTTTGTATGAATATAGGAATCTGCATTTTACTACAACTCTGTAACTTGTATTGAATTCTTATATTGCAGTTAGAAGCCTGATAATTCATACTTCTCATTAATGCTTCACCAAGCAATAACTGCAATAGCTAATTGAAACTTTATTGTCTAGTGCCATCTGCTGTTTAAAGGAAATAGACAGGGACAATAGTCTAGTTACCAACATCTCTGCTTCTGTTTTTAATATTTCTACCTGCAGCTGAAAATATCCCAATACAATGCACTAAAATACTTTCATCTACTGTGGTGCTGTACTTTACAGATAGAAAATAGCATAAAGGTACAAAATTTTAAATAGTAATCTAATACAGTCAGATAACTTAAGCCCACCTTGTAAAAATAAAAAAAAATTAAAAAAGACTAGTCCAGTTTACTTTAGGGAAAGTCCAATTTATTGAAATTCACCAAGGTAACCAGTAGAGGTCATTAGTGAATTCCTTAAGTATTTTATTTTGCCTTCAAGCAAAACTTTCAGTAGCAGTGTGGAGGATACAAATTCCTCTTAAAACTTTTATTATATTGACATATTATATTTTTATATTTAAACTAGATTTTCTTTTGTCCTTGTCTAAAATGTTTTAATAATGTATACATAAAAATAAAGTTAAAATCCTAGTAATGAGGCCTACTTTGTACTGAGCGATATAATGGGGAAGACTGGGCAGAAAACACTACAAGATGTGTATTTGAAAACAATGTCCATGAAGTTGCAAGACAAAGCTGATTGATGTAGTTCACCTGTTTCTCCCTCAGTCATGGCATTTTTGGTCAGCTGAGATGTATTCCTTATTTTACCAGACCCTGAAGACTTCCCTTTTAAGTCATAAGAATGGGAAATAGAAAATAATTGGGTCTTCCTATTGTGGTGTTTAATTTCTAACCAACGTGTTATATTTGGGACAGGGATAATTCATGTCTGGTGTGAAACCTGGGTGTGGTATACAGCATTTACAATTTGAGATGAAGGTAGGTTACTGCATGGTTTACTGTCTCCCTTTTAGCATAAGTGTTATGGGTGAAGTCTACTTTTTTGCCAATTTTTAAGGTGTAAATTCATGTGCACAATATAACAGCTTTAAACCTTAGGTTCCTGCTAGTGTGCACCAGATGGATCTTGTATTAATGTTCCACTTTACTGCATGTTAGCATTTGCAAGTAGTTAGTTGATGGTTATAGCTGCCAGACTTCTCTGTTACAGGAATATACCCTTCAAGCAAAGAAAAGGGAGCATCATAATAATAGACAAAGCCATCTGAATTGTATGTAACTTTATTTTGACTTTTATCTGTTTTGCCCTGTCATGATTTGAATTATACAATGTATTAAAGTTTTAAACCATGCTGAAGAATATGTTTGTATTTAATAATAAACATTTATAATATCCAGTAATTCCAAAAGATTTTGTACAATGGGTAATGATTTGACTAGGGATATATATGGAGGTCCCAGGCTTGGCTCTTTTTTTCTTGTAACATTAATTTAAAGATAACATGAAAATGTTTTTTTATATATAGTTATACATGAACATTTTTTTACCATGTGTGCAATTCTTACTGACTGTAACTTTAAGACATAACAATATGTGTTTTACTAGGCCATTAATACTTTCCTTAAGTGCAACTTTGTTCCTTTATATACTCAAGATGTGTATTAATGGCCTCAGTAAAATCTGCTTTGCAGTGTGTTGGTTTCATATTTCAGTTTTCAGTGAAATAAAATTAGTAATTGGTTGAAAAAGACGAAAAGGGGCTCTAAAAATACAGAGGAGAAACTTTGTCATGTTTGAAGCACGTGCTCCCAAATCTGTCTGTTCTCTGAATAAATTGTTGGTTAAAAAAAAAAGATGAGAACTTTTTTTGTTGTTTTTGTTTTTTTAAATGTTCCTTTTCTCCTTGTTATTTGTCCTCTGTGACATGTTCATTGATTATAGCAGTGGCTCTAAACATTTTTAGACTTGAGTCACCCCTGGATATCTGTAGACTTGTAGCACCCCTCAAAAGTGCCAGCTCTTTATTTTCAAATTTTTTGACTACAGAAAATTAATTAGAGCAGGGTTTTTTTTATGCAAAGAACTCAGAAAGACCACAGCTATGGATTCCTATTTGAAATCTCTTTGTTTATCTTATGAATCGTGTTCTCAAACCTAACAGTGCTAACACTGTGTGGCACACCATGGCACCTTTGAAAGGTCTCAAGGCACCCCAGGGTGCTACTGTACCGAGGCTGAGAGTCACTGATGTATTGTGTAGAACAGGGAGAGGATTTTTTTATTCCTTGTAGTAAAGATAGAATAATATTATAATATCAACCCTACCATGGTTTAAACAAGGATTTCAACATGAGTATGATGATAACAAAGAGGTCTAATGGAGCCACATTGTGACAACAAACAGCGGATTTACATTGATACATAGAGTAGGATTATTTTTTAATGAACTTGAAGTTGGTTAAACTGTTTCCATTAAAATTTGTGGCAGTAAAACTTCCTTTGATTTCAGCCAGAGCAGAGTTAGGCCTCTGAGCATTCCCTCTCAAACTCCATTTCAGCAAAGAACATACACATGTTTAACCTTAGCTACTATGAATATACCCATTACACTTCAATGTTTAAACATAAGCAAGGGCTTTGCTGGATTGGCTTGGCAGGCCCTACTTCTATCCCATGTTAAAACTGTGCAGCCTCACTGAAGGCATTGGGCTTGCATGGGTGCCATGCACAAATACCACGGGCAAGGTTTGTTCTGTAGACTTTTGTTTTCTTTGTCCTTGGACATGTTCAAAAGAATTTGACTTGAGAGAATTAATGGCGTTGTGAAATTCTACTTATTTGTTTTAAATTGTCTGTGTCACTATACACGTCAACAGGAAAACATACATGAAAAGTCATAGAAGTGACTCTGGCCAAGGGATTTCATCAACAAACTGTCACACTTCATATGGTGCCCTAATTTTGGCAAGATCCTATTGTTGTGGTTTAATAAGGAGTACTGGGAATACGGTGTACACATGTAGTAATCTAACATCAAGCACGAATTTGCACAGCATTTGAAGTTGACAGTCCCTCATTTTTAAAATATAGCTAAAAATATAAGAATATAATAGATGTACTTCCTAATACGAAGGCACAGAAAAATGAATTGTTAGCAATAGCTATAATTGCCAGTTTGATCATTAAACTTGTCTTGGGTCACTCTCTCTGTCTGCCAAAAGATTATTAAGTACAGATTAAGAGGTTGTTTGCTAGCATTAGCTTCGGATTCATAAGGCATTGCTGTTCACAAATACTGTGCATTTTGTTGGAGCCAGATTCAACAGCAGGGCCTTTTTGAAAAACTTTTAATTAGCAACTGACTTTCAAAGAGATTCAAACCATAATCAGATTATTCACTTCCCATTGAATTTAGAGGATACAGGCTTCTGCTTGTGTCTCAGTTCCATTGGATCTCTTCCTATTTCCTTTAATAGTGAGGTATTGTTGTACTACTCTATTCCAAGGGTTGTGTCCTTTTGTGCTGCTAGGTCTCAACATTCTCTCATACTCTCTGACTTAGTCTTGTTATTGGAATGCTTAGTGGAACATTTTAATACTTGGAAGTATTCACTTCTGAGCTCACCATGCATTTTTATTTCTGCGCCATAGTCCAAGATTGATATACACACAGAAGAGAGCTTTAAAAGGCTTTTGACTGTGGCTGTCGCCTGTTTAAAAGTTCATCTAACATAAGACACCAGTAAAAGTGAAAAGTGTACATGGTGCTATGCCATACAAAGTTTCCAGACCTGTTTTTAGTGATAAAAATCTTTTGTGTCCACTGAATTTATGGTTCAGATAGCCAGATTAAATACACAAGCGTTCTGTAATCTTTGCTTTTGCATTCATTTGCTTGAAGCTTGAAACAAAAAGATGAGAATGTTGCCCAACTGAATTGTGGTCAATTTGCTTTTTATTTTTGTAGACCATATAAGTTGTGTTATGGAAACTGCAACAGAAGACAGTTAAACAAAAAGTGGCTGTGTAAAATTGCAAAATTTCCATTGGGTGAAAACAAATCCAAACTTTATGTACATATCCTTGGGGAGATGTAATGCAAAAGCTTACAGCTGCTTTTAGTTTCTTATTCCCTGATTAGACTTTAAATTAAAGGGAGGATGTCACGCTGAATTAGGAAGGATTACTTATTTTCCTTATTTGAGTTTGTACATACCTTCTATCATCTCTTTCCATGTGCGCTTACCAAAAACAAAACAAAACCATGTACACAAATAATAATGAAAACAAATTGATTATAAAGGTATTATTAAAAAAAACCCCACAAGCATAAAGGAATCCTTACTAAGCCAAAGCAGGGGAAGGAGGGAAGAAACTAATACTACACAACTTTTTTTTCCAAGATAGGCATTGCATTGTGCTAGGGAGTTATACTCTGACTCAGCCCATGTTAGTTCAATCTAGAATCAAGTATCTTCTTCTGACACTGCCTTGCCTCCACTAGTCGTATATCCATGTCTAGGGACAGACTGCTCAATAGTCCCTGCTGATCTGAACTGTAAGGGCAAAGTTCTTCTAAGGTGGTGCTGCCCTAGGACTAGAGCTAATTGAATATAAAACTACATTTCCCTGAGTAGTCATTCTGGTTCTTAAACTAATGCATTTCAGCCCCTTGAGTATCCCAGAGCATTAGCCTTAGTGTTTGCAGAAAGCACATTTCAGTATTCCTAAGAAAAGTCCTTGTAAACTGAGGAAACAACCAATACTGTTTAATGTAGTTGACTATTTGTCACTAAACAATGTAGCTCAGTTTTTAGTATAAAAGGTTTGAAAATATCAGTTCACTTAGACATTGCAATCTGTTTTCAGGTATTCCATGAGGGGCTGAATTTGTTGAATAAACCATTTAATCATAATTGTTAAATATTTGTGAATTATTAGGCAATTAGTCCTAAATGATAGGGGGCTTTACTGATCAAAACTAGTGCTTAGTTTACATGGAAAAATTAAATGGAAACCAATAGAATGACATATTTCTTATGCCGTCTCACTGACTTAATGAGCAGCTATGTTTTTCAGTCTGAGTTTTCTGAGTGGCATCCAGTCTTTGTCTTAATACAGTATATAGTAATAATGAAATCTAGAGTTGAAAAGGTATTTAAAATGAAAATCACTTTCTTTTTACATGTGCAAGGAATTTTAAATGTTTAGATGTTTATCTGAATTTTTGAGTTCTGTGACCAACGCTCCTGCCCTACCCCATTCCTCTGTAACAGGCCTCTGTTTCACAGTATGCCATGTTGTTTTCTTGGATGGAGGCTGGACAGCCTGTCATGCACCTGCAGCATAATTAGCTTGTAAGCTCTATAGTGGAAGGACTGTTTTTCAACTTTTACTATAAATGAAGTCTTTGGGTACTACCAACTAGTGTGTCTTGAAAATGTGATGGAATACACACATTCTCTTACCATTTATTCTAGTAGCACATTAAAGATTAGTTCTAATTTTCTACTTCCCTGCTGTGGACCAGTGAGACCCAGCAACTCCTAGTACTTCCTCTTGGGGTACTTAGGATGATATTTCTTGTAATCTTCAATCTCATGTGATTTCCCTCTCCATCACTCTCAATGTGCATCCTGCATTAAGAGAAATTGGAGACAATCTGCACTGTTGTTTCCTCAGTCTACAGCATTCCACATGAAGAGTCCCAATGTCCATTTTTATATGAAACTATGTAGTATAGAAAAGCATTTGATTTCTTAAATAAAAGCTAAACATGTTTTCCTTTTCTATTTTTTTCTCACAAAATGAAAAGTTGTATCCTTTATGGAGGAAGAATGGAACCTAGAAGTGATACCAGATTGACAGAGATCTAGTCAAAATCTGTACTGCTACCCTGCTATTCTCCATTAAAGTTGGTCCTCACATATAATCTCTGCCACAATCCCTACCAGAAAACTGTGGCCTGGTAATGACTAGGCACTCAGGAGTTGGGATTTGGCTAAGGATTGCATACACCATCTTTTTGTTACTGTATTCTACTTTTTCTTACTCATTTGCTTTGTTTAGATTGCACACTCTTTGACTTGCATTGTCATTTACTATTTTTTTTGTTTGAAACCATAGTTGTTACCTAACTCCAGGTACTACTTCATTCTTTGTGGACTGAGATTATTTCTATTATTAGATTGAAGTCTACACTCTGCATCATTTCAGAGCTTTTGTGAGTAATGAACAATAAACCTATGGTACAGACATTAGTCAAGACTTAGGTACAGTAGGTGTGTCTACATGTGCTTTTACGTGCACTTAAACTTAATGCACATTAGCCTAATGTGCATTAAGGCGATTTAGGTGTGTGTCCACATGTGCATGAGCTAATGCGTATTAATGGGGGGGGTGTGGACCAATTTGGGACTAAAGTGTTTCCTGTCAATGGAAAAACACCATCTTAACGTGCATTAGTGTGTCTACATGTTTGCTAATGCAATTTAACTATTTGCACATAAATGTGATAACTGCTTTATGCAGGTATCACATTTAGGATTGAATAGCCTTAAACTGCCATTTTTAAGGTGAATTAAGGGCATGCATGTGTAAAAACACACCCTTAATGCACCTTAAATTGAGCTAATGAGTATTAAATGCGCACATGTAGACAAGCCCAGTGATTTTCAACCAGGATGCTGTGGCATCCTGCAGTCCTTTCAAGAGTGCTGTGGGATACCACACAGTGTTGGAACTCTTAGGTTTGCAAACATGCTTCACAAGATAAACAGTTTCAAAATAGGCATCCACAGTGTCAAAAATACTTT